CAGACAAAGGTATATTGTTTAAATCACAAATCTTCAACTAATAATTGTTTTCTATCTTAATTTCTTATCTGGCCTTAGGCCAGTAAGGATGGGACTATACAATGGATATTACTGGCAGCAATATACCTGGTATAGCTAACTTTATCTTTTAGTATCTCGACATCAATGTCATGTCACAGTGGAGAAGCAATTTAATGCAAACTCCCCCTGTGGCAAACAGGGTCAATGGAGTCTTTGAGTACACGTGGAGGAGAACAGTGACCAGCAGTATGGAGGAGCATATTCCAGTGTCACATACAGTGATAAATTATGCTCAGTGCTTCATGGTCATGGTTTTTAAAAACCTGTTGACAAACCGATTGCCTGTTTGCCAGTCTGGAGAACATCCTTACAAAGGATACTGTCTTTAATACAGACAGAGGTGACTTGCTTGCAGTTTATGCATACCTAAAGATGAAAAAAACCAACCAAACAAAAAAAAACCCAAACCAAACCAAAGAATTCTAGGCTTTAATTAATAACAGCAAAGATGTACAGTGGAAGAATCAAATATTAGAAAACAAGGCCAAACAAGCTGAATTTAGAATTAGAGTACAATTTCTAATAGAACAAAGATGATTTAACCATTTGAATAAATTGCAAAATAAAACTATGGATTTTTTGTTATCCATCTTCCAATTAAGACTCTCAAGTTTTTCTGGCAAATATTTTTGTGGAAAGCCAAATTATTGGATCCAACACACAGATTAGCAAGTGAAACCTACCATCTTGCAATATACAGGGTCAGGCCAGATTATATACTAGTCAATTAAAGACTTGATTTTAATGGTTACTGGTGACACTTTAATGCAATTATCTCCTCTATCAACAATCATATTAAGAGATGAAGTGGGGAGAGTGAAGTCAGGAAGTGCAACTCAAACAAGAGTGACTGGAAATTACTTCGTGAGATAATACAGAGAAAATCTGGTTAAGGAGTAAACCAATGGGCAAAACCCAGATGTGTCTCAATGTACCTATAGCTTCCCATCTAGTGAAGCTACGAGTAGCAACAGCTATACATGTAGTTGTTTACTTTGTATCTCACTAGCTAATAGCCAAGTTCCTTATTCAACCTTCGTTGATTTTCTTAGGAAGATCAATGAGCAGTCTTCAAGCTGAGAGGGATCCACATAAACCTCTACTACAATCCATAGAGGTGGAACATGATGTGACTTTTCCTTCACAGTGAACTTCCCACCTCCAGTTTATTACATTACTTGGCTCCAGCTGTTACTGCATTTAGAAGTTCTGTGCTGGATTCCAGAATTAATCCAAGAGGCTTGCTGCTGTATTGGATCAGTTCAGATGCTGGCTAAAGCGGATGTTATCCTGGAACTCACTTGCAGCAATGTCCTCCTCTGCAGAGTAATTAACTTAGATATTATTGGCAAAAATGTTATTCAGGTATTACCAAGTTTAATTAAAGGTCATCCTCCTTATCTATCAGGAATGGGTCAGTGTCCAACTAAAAGTAGTTAAACACTGTTCCAGGTTTGGTTTTCTCTGCCGGTCACTATTAATGATATGATTGCTAGCACAGTACCTTCTGTGCATTCTCTGTATCCCATTTTGCAAAATCGGATGCTTATTCAGAGTGTAAGAAATAACTCTTTTTTTCCGTACTCTTCCTTGAAATCCTAATGATTCAGCAATTTCTTTGCCTTAGTCTCTCTTCCACTACATTATCTAAAATGCTGCTGTTCCCATTTTATATTCACTTACTCTCAACCCAATAAACTTACCCATTTCCCTGACTCTGCACATGCATTCTTCACTGCCTCCTTGTTCCGTATAGGTCACTTTTGTTATTGTTTTTCTCCACATCCACCTTCACTCCTAGCTGCCCCATGTAGATACCTTGACTCCTTAAATTCCCACAGTTTAGGGAACTACAGAAATGCGCAGGGATAAAATTTTGTTAACTCTACCTGAGAAACAACTTCAGAAATTCTTTTATTAACTTTCCTTTCTCTATCAGCTAAGGCAACTTCTATGCCTACATTTGTTCTTTGAATATGATCTCAAACAACAGAAGGTGTTCTTAGAATGTATTTCTAAGGTAAAATAAACACCAGTATTTCAGCACTTTTCTTGTTCTGCCTTTTAGTAGTACTTACATATTGGTTCCATTACCAAGACCCTAAATGCTGGGACAATACTTAGTATATCTTTTATTTAACCACTGTTCAAGGCAAAGCCCTGCAGTACCCAGTTCATTATGTCTTAAATCACAAAAGCTTTACCAGCAGTCAATAGAATGCACTGTGCTAAACCCCACATTATTTAGCATTTCAAATATGACTCTGTGACTATAGTGAATAAAAGTGAGGTTTTCAAAAACGTCTTTGCTGGTCACAGACAAAGAATTTAAAATTAGTCCACAAGCCTTTGTGCTGCAATGTCACCACACTTATGAAGATTCAACCAACATGTAAAATGGCCTGCAATGGATTTGGATGCTCTTCAGCTCTCCTGCAGGTTAAGCTTCAATAAAGGGAGTAATTAGATGCATTTCACATCTGCTACAAAGCCACCAACATGATTTTTTTGAAGCTTTGTACCAAGACTTATAATCCCTGATCTGTTTCCGAGTGAATTAAAGTGGGAGGGAAAACAAAAATGCCTTTTACAAGTGAAAGGTGTTTTCTAACTGCTTTCAGTGAAAATACTGCTCCTTTCACACCTCTTTTGAATCAGTGTAATGTTGCCCCTGCTGAAAGGCTCCATTCTTGTTGCAAGTATGATGGATCAGTTTTCTAGATGTAAATATATGTAAATACAAGTAGCCAGAACTATCAATATACTTCATAGAATCATAGAATGGTTTGGGTTGGAAGGGACCTTAAAGATCTTCTAGTTCCAACCCCCCTGTCATCAGCAGGGACACCTTCCAGTAGACCAGGTTGCTCAAAGCCTCATCCAGCCTGGCCTTAAACACTTCCA